TTGAAAAAAATCAAGAAAAAAGCGAAGGAAGAGGTTGATTCTATAATTTTTCACACCACTGTATATGCGACTATAATCAATGTGCATACAGGAAGTGATGTTCAATGCACACATATTTTTGATTTTCCTATCAAAATCGAAAGTAATCATAATACACTACCTCTTGGTTAGACTAGTCATGTTATTAAGGTATTAATGTGTAGAACAATCTTGAATAATTGAAAACCCGCTATATACAGCACATTATAGGTATACAAAAATGAATGTGTCATAATTTCACTCCACTATGTCCAATCGAGCTGAAATTTTGAACTTAGAGGTTTTACACTATGCGCTTTCATGTGGGATATTCAGATTGAAGAATAGATCAGAAATCATATATCTTCATATGTGAAGTCCGGGTACCCCAGCTAGATCCCCCTAACATTGTTGAAAAATATTTATGAGGCAAAATTCATTTCCACAAACTTTTGAAGACGGTAAGCGATGCATCCAGATATGCTCTTTCAAATGAGACTAGTCTCAGGATAACCCACTTCACTGATCCTACCAATGTGCCTTGGATACCTACCCCAAGGAGTATGAGATAACGATGAACAAAAAACTCATCAACGGGTACTTTTAATACCATCGATCTATAGCCAAACACTAGTAGTATTTATGGTAAAAAAAATCAGCTTTCGATCATTTATCGTTCTTGAGATATTCAAATTTTAGTGTTAAGAACACGACTAAAATCGCTCTCTCAAAGGCATTACAATATAGGCTTGTAATGCTTATATCTCAAGAACAGCTTATCCGTTTGAGCTGAAACTTTTGGCGTTTTCCTATCTTAGTATGACCTATCTACTGTAGAAATATGAGTCCGATCGGAGATGGTCATTGCGCAACGCCAGGTGTCGCTTACGTGCAATGCCTCATAGTTAATTGTTCAAACACACTCTACATTTGATTTACAACTTGCTAAGAAATATATTCTCATTGCAAGCCCTGAAGAGTAATCCTTTTGAAGGTACGAAATGCGTCGGCGAAGCAAAATATCTGCATTTATATTTAATTTAATATCTATTCAATAGTTAATTTATTTTCACATAAGATCGGTTGCTGAAGAAGCAAAAGTTAAGATCAGCAAATTGGCTTATATTTCTATTGTATAAGTCAATCTGTTTTAGATCAACACTCTCAAGATAGTATTTTTCGTTAATTTGATGTCGTATCTTGAGTGTTTTTATAGTCGTTCAGCACCAACTGTTGAATCGATTATATGCATTTTTGTGACAAAAAAATGCTGACCGCATGAGGGATTGTTCGATAAAGACAAGATATTGTCAGTGGTGTTCGAAGATTATGTGCTTATGAATGTAGTATAGAAATCCCGCTCTGTATTAGGAGCAACTGAAATTAACTAAACATTGTTTTAGAAAAATGGTTATTGATGTGTCCCGCGATTACTATCTAAACACGGGTATTAAAATGTTTAATCCTTCGGAGCCGCAATTTTTAATCGGTTTATTTTATGTTTCGCAAAACGATGACATGAAAATCTTATGATAATAAAAAAAACAATTTTTTTAGTCTGTTACATAGAATGCTAATTTGCAAGTATAACATTCGATGATGGACCTAACTTGTTATTCTTTTATACTAAAATAGGCACATCGTTTCCGTGTATCTTTTACCGGAAATACATTCCATTGTACAAATAAAAATTAGACTGTGACGGAGCTATCTTAGAATTCTTAGAAGCAGGTCACTCGCGACTTCTTTGTCCAACAGTAAAGCAGAGAGGCTTCGCTACCGAAACTATATAATTAGGATATGATAATTTATCTTTGGCTAGTTGATTGTAACAAATAAACGAATTGAAAATAGACACATTGAAAAAGAAAATAAAAAGCTGAAGCTAGTTTCTTTGAAACCTGTGGTCAAATGTATAGTATGATATTCTTTGATTACATCGATCAACTCCACGCAGAAACTTATTATAATCGTTTATTGCTTTTGAACAGTTAACCATAGGGGTGTCAGCGTTCCCCGTTCCCTACAGTTCCATTCCTGGGAATGGAATGGATTTTATCATTCATCCTACAGCATTGTTTTACGCATACCTATACTTTTGACACGCGATGGTACACATTACCAATTAAAAAACGTTGTTCGTTCTCCGTTTGGGAACGGGAACGCGATACCCCATTCCCCGTTCTGGGAATGGGAACGCTACACCCCGTTCCTCATTCGGGGAATGGGAACGCTATACTCCATTCCCCATTCTGAGAACGGGAACGCATGTTAAAGTTTCAGCATTTAATAAACAATATGCGTAAAGCAATACTCACGTTACTTGATTATTATCAATTAAGATTTACTTAGCATTTCAAAAAAGGATACCACGAGTTTCGTGATATAAAAGTCATATAAAAACATCCGCAAGCAATAGCACTCATGAAGGATGCGGAAATCGATTTTTTAAATAAAAAATCATTGAATTACATATAAGGTCGCGAACATTCAGTAGCATTTAGCCAATCAAGTAGTCAATAATGAATTAAAAGCAAGGAAAATTTATCAAAAACTAGGCAAATATCCCGTACATTTGCAAAAACATCAGCTGGATATTATATCATAAGAATAAATCGATTCAACGTCTTTCAAAGTTTTAAATAATTAGCTAGGCACATATATGTAAAGAACGGAGAGGACTGGATGCGAGCTGAAAAGAACACTTGATGACGCACATGCTTGTTAACATATACAATGTTTGTTTCCTTCTGTTCTGCTCTCCCACAACGGTTAGAAATTGATCGACAGTTCGTTATATAAGACTTACACTTATTTGTCCTTACGCGATCATCTATATATTCAAACTGTACAAAGTTCATTTTGCTCTGTCTAGTTCATTCTTGCACATTTATCATTGCTTTTCTTGTTGAAAATGAGTAGCAGATCTTCTCGTCGTTCACTTTCACGAGCATCTTCGATTTCATCTGAACCTTCAACACCAATTGCAAGACGAAGAAAACCTCAAATGAATACAAATTCAAGAATTCAAAAATCTTCCAGCAACTCACCAAAACCCAAGATTCGTTCATTGAGAAGACTTCAAACCAAAACGAAGACCGTTAAATGGACGGATAATAATGACGGTAATTCATCCAATTCAGATGACGACTATCAGCGAGAAGAAACCCAATACCGACGCCTATCAACTACTGAATCTTCAAATATTGATAATGAATGTGACGAAACAAATCCATCAGCTATTATCGAATCTCTTTCAATATCTCATTCAAAAACGAATGACAACATCATGAATAGTCAAATAACAGTTCATCCAAGTGATGAAACTGTGATCGAAATGCAAGAGAATCCGTCCTTTAAGAATAAAAAGAATGATTCTGCCACTGACACCCAGGCAGCTGGACGCCATGAAACGAAAACGGAACGGATTTTGGATTTATTTGTTGAATGTGTTGAAGAAGATGGTACTACTGTTCTTGTGTGCAAGTTATGTCCAACGGTAAGGAATTCGAGTTGTACTTTATAAATGGGAAAAGGATGTGTACATTTGAAAAAAGACGAAGCCCTTCGCTTTGGATATTTATAATAATTTTTTATTTAATTGTAGAGAATTAAAAAGCAGATTCGATCAACAGCTAATCTACGTCGACATGTTGGTTCTGTACACGGGCAAAAAGCATTCCTATTTAAGTCTCAACTGAAAGAACGTCGTTCTGAATCATCTTCATTATCCAATCAATTCAAGGCCAAATTAGATGAGAAACAAGTCAACGCAATTATTCTCGATTCTCGTCCTTTCAACGACTTTTCAAAATACGGCATGCGAGATTTTCTTACTTACACCGTTCCTGGTTATAAACCCCTTCATCGGACTACTGTTCGAAAACGAATTAGTAAATTATATCATGAACATCGGGAAAAACTTCGCAAGATTTTAGGTGGCGTATCAGATTTATCGCTAACGACCGATATCTGGAAGGACAGTAGACATCGATGCTTTATTGGAATAACGGGACACTTTTATGATAAGAACTACACCTTTACTTCATTGACACTCAGTTTTCAAATGATTCGTGGTCGACATTTTGCCATACGTCTTGCCAAGTATATCAAACGTGAAATTTTGGCTTTGGATATCCAAGACAAGGTTCGATCAATTACAACGGATAATGCCGCAAATATTGTGGGTGCTATTTCCAAAGTTGGTATTGGTGAACATTACTCATGTATGGCACACAATCTTCATCTCATGGTTAAAGCGATATTGTTTCCTCCAGAACAAAAGTAAGACTAATTACTTTTTATAATTTGTTAACCTAACAAAAACATCAGAGCAAGTCTGGTTTCCCATATGTGTCAGAGATTACAACGTGAAATTAATTCATCTAACTTGATTAATTTTTGGCTTATTCTATCCATTCATATTAATAAAATTAAGCAGTTTCAAAGTCACTATAGAAAAGAATTTCCGAATGAGATCAACCGTATCGGCGTGTAGCATTGTAATCAGAACGCCTAGTGTTTTTTCTCATATTCATTGTGGAATTACGACGTTTAAAACTCAATAATGACGTCCATTTATGATCCTGGAAGAACAGAGAATCAGTTACCATAAGAAACTTTTTATGAAATCGATTAGGTATGCAGCAACTATTCTAATCGACAATGACTAGTAGAGTACATGTACGAGAAATAAACCGGTGACTATTTAGTTAACAATAAAAATAGGAAACCTACTAGATTAGAGTAATACAGATGTATTTGTTTGCTAGCACATAACGAGAAATGCAAGTGGTCTTTCTGATTAGTTTCCCAAACCTCTACTAAAGCTTGTTTGTTTTCTTATTTTAGAAAATCGCATACGTCTGCTCCGACATCAACTGCCGAGCAGCAATCTAACGATGATGATCACTCAGCTGAAGATATTGAATCGTCTAATGATTGTACGATATCTGAAGAGGAGTCATCTGATAATGATGCTGATCAAGAAAATGATTCATCAACTAATAGTTCAGAAGACTCAAGCACAGAAGATGACTATTCATCATCAGACAGTGGCGAAAGTGATAATGAAAGCACATCAGCAAATGTATCTGTTCACAAAACTGTTTTACGGATTCGTTCGTTGATCAAACAAGTTCGATCTGTAGTTGGACTTGTACATCGTTCAGCACCATTAAATGAATACGTTAAAGAGCAAGCTAAGATGAAAAATCTTCCAGGACAAGTAAGTAATCAAAGCAGGAGGGAACTAGTTTGTACGGTGTACAAACCATTTCGGGATTGATCAACGCTTGTGAAACACGATGGAATTCCTGTTTTTATATGCTCAAACGGTTTATTCAATATCGTTCTATCATCGAAAGCATTACTGTTGTTCATCGATCTTCAATTGATGGCTTGACCGCTTCGATGGCTTCTGACTTATCAAAATTGCTATTTACGCACGAAGACTGGGCGCATTTAGATGCCACAGTCAATGTGCTAACTTTAATAGATCAAGCCTGTAGTATTATTTCGAGACAAAGATATCATACTTCATCAATGGGTTATGTTATTACATGCGGTTTACACCATGCACTTCTGAAACCATCATCAAGTCCGTTTGCGACGATTGAAGATATTTTGAAGAAGCATCTTTTCCATGCTTTCCAAAAGCATTTCGATCGAAAGATATCCAATGAAAACAAACAAACTTTACTGGTAAGCTTTATCCTGCTGATATAAGTTTTGCACACATGTTCACCAGCAAAAGTCGATGTAGCTGAGATTTTCTTGATAAGGATGTTTCACAAATCCTTTCGAAAAGCCGTAGTTTTCACTTCTAGTCCGATAGAAAATCTATCCAAAGAACAAACTATAGAACTTATTGTTTCCAATTCGAGATGATTTGATCTAAGAATTGCTTGAGGCATGAAAAATAAAAATTGTTGGTACAAATCATGTATCTGCTTACTTCGAAAGATCGAAATAGACAGTGAGAGTGATACAGTGCTCAAGATGCGTCGTTATTTTAATAAAAATCAATAGTTTAATGAATCAATGAAATATATGAAACAAGTTCATGGAATCTTTTTTAAAGAGAGCTACAGATTATTGAAGATGATTGCATTTAGAAGAAGAGTTGCTTATCACCGTTTCATTTCGTTTTCTCATACCTAGAACTGATCGTATGTCTTCTTGTTAACCTAATCTTTTCTTCTATCTTCTTCCTAGATTGCTGCATATCTTGATCCATCAACATTTTTTCGAATGACTATCAATGACAGGAAATACGCTGAGGAATTAATATTAAATGCATTGAATTCTAGTGGTCTACGTCCAGGTGGTCAAGATAATCCCTCCGTTGGAAATGAATTACAGAAACAAGTAAATGATCCTGTCGACTTGTTTTACATCAATTGTGGTCTTTCACAAGCTACGTTATCGAAATTTATGAATTCCGTACCGCACCGTACAATTGAAGAAGAATTATCTTATTATTCCGATCGCGTTAAGCAACATAGCGTTCTCAAAGATTTCTGGAGCCGTTATCAAAATGATTTACCTCGTTTAGCCGAACTGGTCCGATCGTACAATATTCGTCCTGTTTCATCCGTACCCAGTGAGGCTCTTTTCAGTAAAGCTGGCTACATTCACCGTAAACATCGGTCATCCCTCAATCCAGAGACTTTGAAATACTCAATGGTCCTTCGCGATAAAAATATTCTCTCTAGCATCGTCATTGATTGATATGACTGTAGTGGTATGCATCGTTTTACACTGTGTACCTCTAACTTCTTCGAATCTCTTGTTTTTTGCGTGTTTTCGTTTGTCACTTTGTGAAATCATGTTAACTGTTTTTTCATCATCCAAATACACTTGGACACTTTTTTGTTATGGCTTGTCTATTTGGACAAAGTATTGTCTGTTGAAATTATTTTGTTAAGTAGTGATCATATCATTTTTGAACACTAATAAAGATTACGAACTTCCATATCTTATAAAGTCTAGCCTGATTCCTTATACCTTCATAATTCAGTGACAAAGGTATGTGTATGTGTGTGTGAATATATATCTATTCATCAAGAATCCAACACTTTAACAAACGAGTTCAACATCATCCGTATTTGTTCGTGAAATATAATTATACCCTACTACCACTGTGACACCATTCGTGTGTATTGACAGAGCTCTTACTTCTGTTTAAGCGGTATTAGAAGAAATGATTACGAAGGTTATTGTACTTTGATACACTTTTACATCTGTACCGTATTATACTAAAAAGTTCAACACGCATACGGAACAGGGAAAATAAATTTATGTCGAGAAAATCTATACTACAAATTCTAAAGCAGAAGCAGAAGCAGAAAACGAGAAATCACAATGGTAGCCCCATCTGTCGTATATTGCTTTCGTAAGGCTAGATTCCATTTTAAGTACAGATTTTGGTGATAGCAAGAATATTTTTACATATTTTTAACTTGATGAATATCAGATGGATGCTTGCATTCCCCGTTCTCGAGAACGGAGAACGCGAGCTGCGTTCGCATTCTTTAGAATGGAATGCCAAAGTGACACCCCTAGTTAACCATAATGTACGCCTGGAAAAAATACTTGCATACTGTATTTTAGATGTTTTTGTATTTTTAAAGGACATTTTTTCAAAACCAATCACATATTCTGGAAGCCCATGAAGTTTTCTATTACCTATTGATTTATATGTATTCATTCGGGAAAACAATTGAGTACAACGAAAACACCCTAATGGTCCCGATTCCCAGAGAGAAAAGATTTTGATAGTCATTCAAAATAATTTTAAGGCTTTTTCTTTCTTATAGATGTGATTTTCCATAAAAGCTGTAATGGATTATGACAGAAGCTGAAATTCTCTATCACTCTGTTTATTTACTTATATCTCACATCGAAAATGCAGAAAATCGGCGTGTCACACAGTTTTCGAGATTATAGACGGATCCAAAAGAATTTTTTTACAAAATAATGATGCATTTTGAAAGAACGTCAAAATCTCTACTATCCTGTGTATTTTCTTCTCGTTTATATTCATATCATAAATACATTCTAACAAATGGTTACCTTACGAAACCTTGAAAGTTCCGATTTGTTCTGCTGAACATTTTTTAGCTTCGTATCTCGGAAATAGTTGTGTGGTTTGATCTCAGATTCTTAAAAAGTTCGGTAAATTTCATGAAGTTTTGTATGCGTGATACCATAATACGAAAAGATTGTGAGGTGCTTTGAGGTTTTGTAGTTCGAACAGTAATCCACTGATTGGTATTGCGGAGTCCGAGACCATTCGGTAAGTTTTGTACAGTACTGAGAGGTCTACCGAATGCATTCGAAAGGTTCACCTTTCGAAGGATCGAAACCAATGGTGACCGATCATTTCGTCGCCTATTCATTTCGTCGCATTTCTCCAATTAATGTTATTTCCACCTTCGCCATTGTCTCTTTCATAATTCACGAAGAATTTAGTTGAAGTACTATTTTATTACGAAAAAAAACTGAAGTAAATGACAGAATAATTTACAAGGAAACATTTGCAGCGATATTTTTTAAATATTCTAGGATCTGCGACGAGTCGTATTGACGAACTACGCGCGCTATTCTCTCATCGAGTTTTTGATAACAGGCTTTTTTTGGCTTTGGAGGATGGCCTTGAAGAAGTTGAGCGATTTCAATTTCGAATTTTGACTGCTCTCGGCGAATCTTGTCGGCCAGCTTTTTGATTGTGGGATGGGCGATTGCAACGCGAGTTGCGAAGGCACTGTGCCAGCCCTCCACGGAATTATTTGAACGAGGTAAATCGGCTATCACACGATCGTAAATGTTCCACAGTGTATGTTCAAATTGAGGTTTTTTTCGTCCCGCTCCTGGAAAAGGTAAAATATGAGAAGGTGGAAATATGATTATAGATATCTTACCTCTTCTTTTGGGTTCACCGATCCAAGTCTTCTCGAAATAGTCGAGAAGATCGTCAGCATCATCCTCGAATTCACCAGCGACTAGATCGAAGCCTGTTATCACGTCCGATAACGGAAGGAAAGCCAGAGCAATTAATCTTTTGACGTTGAGTCGAAAAGTTTCATCTTCTTGATATTTGGTTGAGAGCCCCTTGCTTTGAACTTGCCGCCACATACACTGTCCAAAATGAAAGAGACAGCCTAAGAAAAAAATGATGATTGGTAAAGTTCGATGATTGATATATTTTACCTTTGTGCGTGGCATTTGGCAACACTCTTTTGACCGATTTGATTGTTCCTGTTTCAAAATCGGTCAGGATTGTTTCGGGACGAAAATCGTCTTGTTCCATGACTTTTTTGAGGAAGTCATCATAATCATCTGCGCTCTTTCCAATTAACAGGCCGTAGACGAGAGGGATAATTGTCGACCTGATCACGGCATGAAGTGTGAACAGTTGATAGAAATCGTCAGGGCAGACCTATAGAGGCACTAATTGAATATGAGAGAGACATAATTAGTGACCTACTTTGAACGTTCCATCAGCGAACCAATGTTTTGATTGCTTCAGTGCCGAAAGATTACTTTGAGTCGAGAAAATAATCATTTCTGCGTCTTCATACAAGAGAAAATCTTCCCCACGATCAGTTTTTTTTAAATCGTCTGGGAGACGGTCGTTGGATCCTGTTGATGGGGTTCCACGTTGTCTACGGATAACTTGCATGATCATTTCAGTACGGAGAAGTTCACTCGTCGCGCTCAGAGGAAATGTTCGTAACGCCGAGTGAAGAATGGAGCTTGTTGGTTCGTCAGAAGTGGCGGCGCGTGCTTTGACGTGATTGCTAAGTTCAATCACAGGGATACGTTCAGGAGTAGGAGCGTGATTGTGAGCGGTTGGCTGAGAGAGAAAAGTATCGAATGATAGAGTTGTGTGACAGCGCGCCAGACAAAATAATGTTCGTCGATGTTTGACGTCTATTCTTTATAAAGCTCACCTTTACAGGTTCTTTTTTGGCATCGAAAAATAATTTTCGTTGTTGATTCCTTTTCTCTTGTGTAAATGAAACCCAGATGAGCAATCATAGGTTTTTCTTTGGTTGATTGTAATTTTTGAATAGAAGACATTGTGTTAGTTAAGTTCAGTATTGATGATTTGGTTCGTAGTTTTCTCATCATGGCACTCGTCATTTTATAGATATCTAGGTCAACTATTTATTTGTTGATGAGCTTTTGCTCGAATAGACAGTGTCTCATTTAGTTCTCAAAATTGAACATTCCCAATTGTTTGAGCTTTTTCACCTCATATAGAACCAAATAGGATCAAAACTTTTTTAAGTCTTAGGAGCCGTTAGTACAGAACGTACAAGTACCACTTTTTATTGATCTGTTAATTTCTCTCGAACAAGATGAAACATAGTTACAACCAATTAAGAGAAACACACGACGAAATGAATGCGACGAAATGAATAGGCGACGAATTGAGAAGCGACGAAAAGAACGCGACGAAATGAGCGCGACGAATTGATATAGCACCAAACCAATGATGTTTTTGTAAATGTCAAAAATTTTGATGTGCAAAAGCGAACCACTGATAGTTTCGTAGTACATTCAAGGGTATCGTGTGTAATATGTCGAACCCTAAAAGATTTGTAAATGCGTCATTAGTTTAACAGATATAGTACAGAATTTCTAAAGGTTCGGTGTATCACCTCGCGATTCTGCAGTCCTTGCTCAAAACTATATCAAACGAGCGCTGCGCAAATACAAATACAACTTGTACTTTACTTTGTACACCATTTATTCACTGTCATGTATTATCCCTGCTTTACCCTTTTGAGCTAGAATCGGTCGTCTTGTATTGTCATGTATTTGCATGCACTATCTATACCATACATGTAATACTCGAAAGTTGAATTCAGTTATTCAACTACTATATTTGAATACTTGAAATTTCAGTATGAAGTTTCAAATCCACTCCAACAAGTGCGATATCATCACCGCTGCCCGACAAAGACAACACCCTTTATGCGGCCTTACGAAGTGGCACCCTCACTGTAACCCTATGAGGCAATACCTGCTGTGGCACCGGCAGCTAATACTTTGCAAATGATTAACTGAATAATTGGAGTACTAACTGACTTCAGCCTTATCGTATTACATGTATGAATCGAGCAAGATTGGAAAAGAATAAAAATATCAAGAAGATGGTATGATCAGTATACTCATCAAGATCGAGCAAGATTGGAAAAAAGTGAGCGATTGATGATTTTCAATATAACGATTTGTGGGTATTTAAAACACTTGCTAAAGAACCCGCCTGAAAATTCTCACTTTCAATTTCACTATTCATCCTATGACTGAAAGTCAGAACAATGAGAAAGGGCAGAACTAAATACTTAACAGAACTAAACGGTGCACCTCATGGATTTTTGTGATTGGGACTTGGTTGATAACCAGACATATCATTGCAAATTAACCGATACTGGTTATTAGGTCTGCATAAAGTGAGTGCATGAGAATACATGACAGCCGATTCTAGCTTAACAATATAGGGCAGGGTCAGTACATGAATAATAGATGTAGTATACTGGACGGAATGTGGATAAACGTGCGAGCACGCAGTTATTAGGAAGACTCTTCTGAGTTAAGTACATATAATTTGAAAAGAATATGCATTGGAAAATAATTTATAGAAAAATTAAAGTACAAACTGTATTTGTATTTGCGAATCTCTATATGAAACCTATGAACTAAAGATGAGGTTTGGTGAGTAGAATTCGTTGCACGCATGAGGGAACTTCCCCAGGTGTTCAAGCCCTTTAGGTCCCGTCTTTTGACGCTTAGTAGACCTCTATGAGGTATGAAAAGCTCCAAGAGAATTCGTGCGCTTGTGCCTTTCTCCCCGAGATATCGAATTCTCAAGATCTACACGAAAAGGGATCGAAATGAAAATCTTGAGTTTTTGAAAAACAGTAGAGCATTCAGGTGAATTTTTTAAAAGCTTTGCGTACTACTCGTGCCACTTGTCCTGGTTTCAGAGTTAGATCAAATATTATCGGTAGCACTTCTATTAACTGTTCACCTGATTATAAAACACCCAGAACTCTTCATTTCATACCTGGTATCATGTCATACTAGAAAAGTTCGCGCAAAAGTGAACCAATGAAAATGATAGTTCAGAAAAAAGTGATTGAAACATAGTGGCTTATCACACCAGCTACAGCAGATGAAAGGGGGTACATCGCACGAAGACGTGGCACATATCGTCGCGTCAAAGAAAAAACACACTTCCGCGACAGTTTTGATGTACCCAGGATTATTGTTGGTGTAGCCACTGGCGTACGAAGCGTATCGAATCATTGGGCGAAAAACTTCGGACGAGAGTTCGTTATGCGTCAAAGACATGAGACGTATGATGTTATCTCGTTCGCTCATGTTGACGTCAAGCTCATCAAGCAGCACGCGATCGTATAATCGACGGAGAATCATCTTCATCTGCCTGTTGAAAAAGACATCTAATGGCTGAATTTGATCCGTCGTTTTCTTTGGTATTTCAAGCCCTGTGCACCCGGGGGTATGATCGTATAATCCCTTTCCATCAGTCTGTCCACCCCAACAGTCCGAGATGAGTAGAAACTTCTGATGTTTTTCCAGTGATGACAGGAGCACATGATCGCGCCAGTAGTCAACCAAAGACGTTGTGAGCTTTCCAGAACTACTGCAGGTGATCACCACATTCGACGCCTTGAAAAGATGCAAGCGAATATTCTCGCTCATGTGTCCTTTGGGCTCCTTCAAGCAGAGGTAAAGCGGCGAAAGAAGATGACCGAAGAGTGTGATTGCTGGCTGTACAGTATAACTATGAGTGGTGGCATATATAGAGCATACAAATCCGACTGTAACTTTCTCTCCTTTGTGACTTAATGCTCGAGTAGAGTGTAATTCGAGCTGGATTCCACTTTGATCTGTGTTAATAGCTTCGCTGACTTCATATTGAGGCAAACGTTTGCGAACATCAGCTACGAACTGATCGGCCGAAGTTCTAATCATCTCTTTATCTTCTGTGTGGCGCTTCGTCATAATCTACAGTGAACAAATAACTTCAGTGAATTTGATTTCAAAGGATTGTGTAGAAACTAATGGCGTTCAAAGACTGACAAATCTGAAGCTTGTAAAAGTCTCTTTTTTCATGTTCGTCTGGTTTTAGAAGAGAAAGCTTCCTACCACAAATTCATAAAAAATTATCGTACATCTCTCACCTTTGTTATTTTGCGCGAGATAGTGTTGTGTTTGTGTTTAAAAGTGTATAGCCAATGATTTGATGCGACAAAATTATGTAAAGATTCATCCATAACCTTTTTAAGACCCCGCCGACGAATATCCATATCGTGCACTAGTAGAGCTTTCTTTCGAGCTTGTTCGAGCATATCGAATACATGATCATCAATTTTCTAGAGCTTTTGTTTCTTCGTTGCATGCTTCTCAAGATAACGGCGAAAGCGAGCGAGATAGTTTTGGTAGGGAATACGTCGGAAGTGATTTTTCACTGTCTCCCACCGTCTCTTTTGTTTTCCAGTTTGTGGATTGATTTCGTCGTAGAAATTGACTGCCCGGGTCATGTANCGATATCCCGTTCTCCATTCTGCGAATGGGAACGCCACACATACTTCATTCTTATTGGCCCACCAAGTTATATATCATTCCTTTATGAACTGATAAACAGTCGGCAGAATGCGTTTTTCGTGACGTTCCCGTTCCATGAATGAGAACGCGAGCTGCGTTCGCATTCTTTAGAATGGAATGCCAAAGTGACACCCCTAATACACAGACTCTCGAAGTTTCTTTCAATGCACTTCGTATTTTATTCAGATAATGTTAAAGATCTGGTTTGACAGATTTATCACATGCGCTTTGATTTTTGTGTGATGCTCGTATAAAAAAGTCTCGGCTGAACTATCTCAAATTGATCAAATTTGATAAATATCTCTTCGTAACAGAGGACATTCTGGCAATAAAAAAATCTTTCGTTAAAAGAAGGTCATTTTTCCAAAAATTTGCCCAGATGTATAATAGTAGACACGAGTGTTGAAATAGGATATTTTCGAAATACATTACCTTATCATAAACTTGTTCGTATCGTTGTATATATCGTACTACAGAAGAAAGAGTGAAACAACTGTCTCGTTTCAGTATTTCAAGATATTATACAAACTAATACAGGGTTGTGCATCACCTTTTGCTAGAAGGGTAGCGTCACCATTTCAACTTAGAAACCCTATGAATTTTATACCAAAAGAAAGTCCGTCAAAAACTGGATCTAGTGGTATACTTACCGATTCAACAGATAACGAAAACTGTTTCGGTTTTTTAGACATATATGATTGAGTAAAACTTTTTTCAAAACAAGCACAGCATTAACTGCAATCGAAACAGTTGTGAATGATGTATCAGGTAAATTCTTTATCAGTTCTGAATAGAATTAACGAATCAATATCAGAGTCTTTAAGTAATTGCTGTGTGGCATTTGTTTTATGGTACGGAGCATGGTCGTGAAGATAAACGACTTCTTCTGGATCAAAAACTTTTTTAGGATTAGAGAGGAATGGAAATACTGTTTTCGTTGGGATAAACTGCCCATAATAAGCCCTATTCCATGATGTACCACTCTCTTTGATGACCCACATCAATTCAATAGCAGTAAAACAGATGAAAACCCCAATGAAGCTAGGTTGTGCACAAACATTTTGATAACGTTCATCAGCTTCGATATCTTTCAGAGAGAACGACCACACTCTATCGTTTTTGATAATTCGGCCGGCGAAGAGTCCAAACGAAGAATTCATCAGCTGGAGTAAGACGCATGAAATCATTTTCGTTTCATCGACCTGAATGTTTACAAAACCATAAACGGTTTTCAATGTGAGTAACCGATTTCATTGGCTTTGGAATGACATGAAAAGCTCTTAGCCCTTGTTTAATACGGTAACATTGCATCGTTGATGGACTAACGACCTCTCCATGTTTCTCAGAGGTCTCTTTCGCAACTCACTTACAGCTTCTTTGTCTTTTAGCACTGTTTTCCATCACAGTTTGTTTGGCTTCTTCGGATAACTTTTCTGGTCTTCCACTTCCAAATTCCGTAAAACAATGTTCGTATCCTTTTTTCAGTTGTCTGTAACACATCTTTCGCTGCGATGCAGTTTTTGAGCAATCCATGTTCGAGTAATAAAGGTAGCACCTTCTTCTATTGCTTCTCGATAGGCGTTTGCTCGAATGCGTTCTATTACACGTTGTTCTTCATTGTCTCCGATGAGTCCAGCCATTCTATTTAACAATAACTATGTGAAATCTGAAACAATAATGTAAGGAGCAGCTGAAAAAGAAAACAATGTAGAACGAAAGAAAGCAATATGTGTGTTAACGCTTGAAATCTGAGACAGTTGTTACTATCTGTTAAGCTGATAAGTACACTCATAGATCCGATTTTTGACGGACTTTCTTTTGGTATAAAATTCATAGGGTTTCTAAGTTGAAATGATGACGCTACCCTCCTAGCAAAACGTTATGCACAACCCTATATAGTCCGAGGGACTCGTTTAAGAGGGTCCCTTTATAAAATCTGTGTAATGTATCCTCTCCCAATGACATAACTTTCTTTCCTGAATGATTCGCAAAAGCTTTTCTTTGACTTCTGAACTTTAACCCCGAGACGTTTCTATCACCTATGGTCATTGCCTAGGGGATATTTCTTTTCATCTCTATGAGATTACGAAACAAATATTTTTTTATACCTTTGACCCACACCCTCAATAAGCGAATGTGAAGGGAAAACTCCAAGATAAGAAAATAGATCTCAAAATTTGAAGTCATTACAACAAAACCCTTTGACGGTCTGTTCATTATGGGAAAATATGGTCACATAGTTTAAATCGAATTTTTTGTCTAATTATAGAACAAAAACAAAAGTGTAAATCGATAATCATTGACGAACTGACTAATTGTGGCATACAATAATATAGTATTTTTCTATTTATACTTATGAGATGACAACTAAATATATTAACATTAACGAAAAATTAGGAACTGATAACGAAGATGTGTATGTTCATACGCATAGAACTAAGAAAGACCTAGACATCGTGTTCTCAATATACATGTACGTTGAAGAAAAACCTCTTGGTTCTATGCACTACATAGCCAGAGGAAGTTCTAACAAAAAAATGCATATTCGTTGGTTTTTTTGCACTCGTTGTTCACTATAGGGAGGTTTCACTGTATATTGACCTTTGACTTGCGACAGAGACAGAGACATACACACATACATAAATAAATTTTCTGTTTTTTTACCACTTTTTTCGACATGACCCTCCTAACAGTCGAGGGAATAAAAAGTTTGATGTCTCAAAAAATTCGTATTATGAAATAATCTTCTTGAATAGTACATAGACATGCGATTTACAGGATGACAATTCTATGCAGCTCGTTTCATCGTCAAGCAGAGACATTCTAATTTACATTCTTTCATCGTAAATATCATTTTGTTTCTACGATCGATTAAAACTAATAATTGAGAAAGGAATTGATCCATGTTACAAATACTTGAATTATGATATTCGTTCCTTGCATTTAATTTCCTGTTACAACTTTTTCTCAAATACACTATACGTTGGTGAAATTAGCACCATATTCGTCTAGGAATGCGTTCCAAGTAGAACTCGGCGAGCTCTATCCAATGGTGTATTTATATTTTCCATAGTCCAAACGATGGTTAAAAAAATTACAAAATACTTCATTTTTTCAATAAAATGCTGACAGCAGATTCAAGTAAAAGCTTCCCATATTCGTTCAGCAATGTGTTCCAACCGTTCCAAACAGCGTTCCAAGTAGAACTCAACGCGCTCTATCGAATGGTATGCCCAGTTTTCCCATAACTCGAGTTTTGATTTTTAGGCTTCCAATAACGGCAGTACTGATCCGAAAAACCAAAGTTGGGACTAGGTCGCAACTGAGCATGCCACTAGATAGAGCTCGCCGAGTTCTACCTGGAACGATTGGAACGAATTCCTAGACGAATATGGTGCTAACTTCACCAACATGCTTTCAATGTGATACTTCAATACTCATATAAATGCTTAATATCGTACCTGTGCTTGACTTGGGTGAAAAAATAAAATTTATAAAATAGAATGTGCAAGGATCAATAAAAGATCCAATGCTTTTCTTCTACAGAAAAGTATACTTACGAATTTAATTTTAGAAGCAATTAAAAAATATATATCTTCTAGAAGCGAGAAGAACATAGATTCTTTTAAAAAAAGCTATTAGTGGAGCCGCTAGTGCGACCATTTTGTGCGGTGCAATGTTCCTGTAAATCCCATATAGTCTTTTAATTAGTTTTCAGTGATTTTTGACTGTCTTGTCGATTGAAGTACTCATGAACTCAAACGTTAGTGTGAATACAGGCGATGAGTACTTTTGACATCTCCTAAAGTGGATATTTTCAACAGAATAGGGATCAAGGATTACTCGATATAATTGTTGTGGACAAGCGAAAAATTAATTTCATTTGATACGCTAATGAATATTTCAACACCGTGAATCAAGCAGAGATTCGCAGAAATTTTAACTCCACAAAAGAATCTTACAATTTAGCAAGTGATTTTTATCGTAGTTCATTTAGTAATAAATATTTACCTGTTTCTTTTTGTCTATGGAAATTTGAAGGTTTTCGTCATGAAATGCAGATGATCTGAAAACGATGTTGATTATTTGAAGTAAGTTTTACTTCTCGATAAAAATCCTGAATAGAACGCGCGGTTGCAATTGATATCGTTGCGCTATAGATTCTCCAGCACTATTCCAGTCAAAAGTGTGGAATTTTTAGCTAATTTTTTGTTCGGTCTGGTCAGTTACATGCGGTACTATACAAATGTAATGGCCCTCATGCAATGTTCATCCCTCTCTCTCTCTATCTGTGTATTATCTTAATCTTGTTACAATGAACTGATTAGGTGACGAATTATCCGTCGCCAACTTGTTAAGTTTTCCCATTCTTTGATATGGTATTCACTTATACATATTTGTACCCGACTCAAATGTCTTATCTATTTCATGGTGAATGTTAGGATTATGATGCAGATCACGCATATCCTCGATAACTTATTAGTAATAAGCTAATTTAAAACGTAGAAATGCAGTAATCTATGATGTTCTTTAAGTTAAGCAATAACGCAAAGACCCTCATCGCAATCTCTACACATATACCGAGAAGCTCTATTGTCGTAGGTCTTTGACTGATGTGCGTACGCACGACACACTCTCTTTGAGAGTTCTACTTTTTGTATATTTCAGTATTTGGTGATGCATAAAGCGAAAAAGTCTGCCGTAAAAACATTGTTAAGGTAAATCCAAGAACTTATTTTCTAATTATGACGTCAGTACCGTAAATATAGATTCATGATCCCCCAAAGGGATAATATTCTCTTCGCTCAGGCGCTTCCTTTTCCTATAAATACTTTGTATAAATGATGTCTAACGGTAACATTTTCGTTTTCTCGGATTCCAGCTTTATTGTATACATATTCTGCATCATGGTCGACACCATAACCATCTTGATTATTCTTCAAATAGCTTTTTTGATATTAGCCGTATGTTTAACTGCAATCTATTCAATTATAATTCTATCAAACCGTCGATTTTATCACCACAACAACGTATTCATACTTAACATATGCTGCACAATAATGGTAACTGCCATGTTCATGATCTATTATACTCTAATGGTATTCTTGAACATCAAACTTTTCACGAATTCTCAATTTTGCCTAATTATCTTCTTTGTACATATTATATCCAATATTCAAATTCCGTTTTCATTCGTTGTATTTACGATACATAAGCTCTGTTCAATATTATATCATAATCGACCTTTCTTTCAAACAAATAAATGGGTTATAGTATGCATCATGAGTCAATGGATGAGCGAGTTTCTTGTTTCACTGCCGTTTATTCTGCGATCAGGACCAGTAAGTACTATAGAAGTACACTATTAAGTGAAGCGGTAAGATATTATCTGAAAAATGAATTACTTGAAACGAAAAGTTCTATGGAGCTATGATAGAATAAAAATTGCAAGAGATTAACAATTACAAAGATTTGATATGAAAAAGGAGCATTTCACTTTAATTAATATAAGTCCATAAGAATTTATTTTTATCCTGATAATGGTTAGCGAAAGATGAACTTGTGTGACCAATTAATACACTCATTTGATGTTTATTACTTCATTTTGATCTTCTCTAGACTGATAAATTGATATGAATGAGATTGTAGATGTGTAGAACATTTACCACCACTGATACCATCACCCGAGTTAGTTGAGTAGATTGAAAAAGATCAAAAGGAATTAAAAGTAGTAGTAGAAATAGAGAAAGTGAAAAGTTTGACATATTATAGTATGTTCAGTTACACATAGCTCAGATTTCTTTTTTGTGGACCATTTGGCTTGATTTTCTGACGTTTTTCTTTCTTTTAAATAGTACTGTGTTTACTCACCATGGATGATGATTTACTTATGCGCTTCGGTAATTATTGTACCTTCATTTGTGAATGCTATTTTGAATATTGGTATCTTTATCTATATCCGATCACATAGCCGTCGTGTTCAGACTGCACCCCGTATTATTAAAAACACGATTCTAAATAATAGGCAACAGCAACAACAAAGATTATCATTGCTGAGTCGTCGTGAAATTTCTTTGTTACGACACATGATTTTTATGTTTATCATGATTATTGGTTGCTGGGGTCAAGGTTATTTTCTCTTAGTCATCGGTCAATTTGTATATATTCCTAGAATTGTACATGAATGTGCAGCAATATTGTGTGAATTAGCCGTCTTGGCTTTGGCTATTAATTTATTTATGTGTAATAGTGATTTACGACAACATTTATTTAATAAACTATGTGGTCGTGTTGCCCGTTAAAAAAAGAACAAATTTTTGTTACACTGAGTAAATGATTTGTTACATTTTTCTAATGCAATATCGATATCATTCGATGACACTCGTATGTCGTCAATTTCTGAAATAATCCTTTCCTCTTGCGTCGTTATACTTTTCTCCATTTATTTCTTTAATCATCTATGTATGTGATTTGTCTATCTTTACCTTTATTTAGTGCTTTCTTCTCAATAAATCTCTCTGTGACAATAATTGGCATCATTATTCACCGAGGATGACGGAGGAGATCTTGAGGGTGTGGTTAGAAGTGAAACTAGATCTATTCCTATCCTTATTTAGTCGTTTACTGTAACACTGATATAGACATCTATTTACATTTGAATAGATATTAGTCTGTCGGGAGTCGACTTATAAATGACCAATGGAAAACAAATAATATTTTTCGTCAGTATGGCTTTTGATAAAGGTTATAATGTTTATAGTTATGATGGACACACTAGAAATCTTAGATTAACATTAGATAATTTTTCTGATGCTGATCATCATGCAAGAGTAAATCTCGTTTGTACTGTGACACAAGTTTTGTAATGGATCTTTAGAACAATATACAAGTCCCGAAGATTGTATAGAATACCTAATAAAACAAATACCTTATGGTTCATTTCATAGTGCAGATCAAGACAATGTTACTTGTCGAATTCTTTATGCAAATTTTGTATCTCTTTTTGCCATCTGTACATTATTTACATGTTGGTTCAATTGCGGAGGAGATGCATGTAAAGATAAAACTATGGACTTTTATTACAATCAACTAAATTTTTTAGCTTATATACACACAAGTACAAATAAAGTATGTGGGAGAACAATTGTAAACACTTTTTTGTGATAAAAGGTTTCGCAGCTGCTGTACACAGTCTTGTTCGTATTATTCATCAAATACCAAATGAGCAGGATATAAGGGAAAATGTTCAAGTATTTTATTCTATATTAGGATATTCCGAAATCTAAACACGATCCGTTCAAAATTAATCTTCGTATTATTGTAAAGCTAGTATGACACTGATGTCAGATGAATTGAGTTTTAATTCGGAAACGACTTTCCAATTGGCAATCTTTCCACGCGTAAATGAAATAAAAGAACTTCTTACCTGTACGGATTTAGTAGAAAATTGTTGTGTATACAACTGTTCAATATATATCACGAAAAAAAGAATATCATTATATTATGATAATCTATATTTGAAAATAACTCGTGAAAGTTTTCTCTCATGTTTCACGATTTTATCTTTATTGTTGTTCTTTTATAATATTGATTACATGTCTATTCTATTTACATATTAAAAAATTGATTAAAATAAAAAGTAAAGTTTCAATAATAATTTCTCTATGACAATCATGTCAATCATATCAATATTTCTTATCTTTCACAAATAAAAAGTCTGTCAGATAGTAATAAACATGTCCAACTCATAAATGATGAAATCGAATTGAAATAAACACACTACACACATTTATAAACTTTGATATTTCTATGATAGAGAATGTTTGGAAATATTTATCTTATATTCTTCATCAATTCTCAATTAATTCAATCAGAATCTAATCATAGTTACAAACAACAATTACAAAAAGATTACGATTGTATATTCATCTATGTATCCAATGACATTGTTGAATATGTTCTTCCGTACATTCTTCAACATGAAATTATTGAATATTGTGTTCGACCAGGACCCAATGATATTAATAATTATAATTTATATTCTTCATGTTATAAACATTTAGATTGTGATCATGTATGTTTAGATTGGCGACAAATTTGTGATGGAACAATTGATTGTATTAATTCTGGTCAAGATGAAGAAAATTGTTTTTGAATTAGAAATGAATCAATGTCATTTCTATGATGAATATCGTTGTCATAATGGTATGCATTGTATTCCAATGAATTTTCTACATGATGACGCACTTAATCC